CACGCCCCTTCCGCGTTTTCCAACTGGGCGACGTCCTCAACATCCAAGCGGAGGTGGGCACCGAGAGCCACGTGCCGCTGCGGTTGTTCGTGGACAGCTGCGTGGCCGCCCTGAGCCCCGGCACCGACTCCTCACCCCACTACGCCATCATCGACTTCAACGGGTGAGCCCTGGCGACATGCCGGTGGCCATGCTGGGTCGGGGGGACCCACCGGGATGCTCACCTCCCATCCCACCCCAGGTGCCTGGTTGATGGGCGGTCAGATGACACCAGCTCTGCCTTCATCACGCCCCGGCCCCGGGAGGACATGTTGCGCTTCAGGATTGACGTGTTCAGGTTCGCAGGGGACGCCAGGAACCTGGTAAGGCCGCGTGTGTCCTCCCCCTGCCAGCCCCAAACCAAGCTGGTGTCCCCCACCAGCGGGTCCCCACCTCTCTCCACCGCCCTCCACGCAGATCTACATCACCTGCCACCTGAAGGTGACCCCAGCCGACCAAGCCCCAGACCCCCTGAACAAAGCTTGCTCCTTCAACAAAGCCAGAAACACGTGAGTAGCCACTGCACCGGGATGGGACGCATCTGGGCAGGTCCCCACCAGCATCCCACAGCTCAGGCGCAGCATGGGGCTGCGTCACAGACCCTGACTCGGGGGGGCACAGATGCTCCGTGGGTGTCAGTTGTTGGGGGGCTGCGGTGACAATGCTCCCACCCCACTGCAGCTGGGCACCGGTGGAAGGCACCCGGGACATCTGCAGCTGCTGCGAGATGGGCAACTGTGAGTCCCCCGCGCTCTCCCGGCGCCTCAACCCCTTGGAGCAATGGCCCAGCCACCGCTTTCGCCGCGACACCAACGGTAAGGTGCCGTGGGGATGGAGGGGACACCCTGGGGTTGTTGGGGTGAGCCAGCCAGCCTCATCGCTCCTTCCTCCCCAGGCAACGAGGCTGAAGCTGATGTGGTCATCGGCCCTGTGCTCCTCTCCAGGGACCCGGGCGCCGTGGGAGAGCGGCAGGAGGGAGGTCAGGGTGAGTCCCCGCTGCTGTGACCCCGCAGCATGGCTCTGGTGACCAGCACTAACAGCCCCCCGTGTTGTTACAGGTGGGGTGACGGCAGTGTCCGGCGTGGGGACAGGGCTGATCTGCGTGGCAGCCGGCCTGGGGCTGGCTGGGGTGGTGCTGGCCATCAGCGTGGGGAGCAGGAGATGCGCCCATGCCTCGGCGTGAGTGCGGGGCGAGAGCCGAATAAAGCCTGGGAAGGACAAACCGCCTGCGTGCTGCTCCCTCCGCTATGGGAAACGTGGGGACACGCGGGCTGCTGGCCCCCCCCCCAAGCTCCTGGGAGGGGGGTCCCCCACATCAGCCCTCTCTGCAGGGTTCCAGGGTGGCACCGCTGGCTCTGCGTGGATGATGCTGGGGACAGTCCCTCACCCCAGAGGGATTCCAGCTGCGTCCCCCGGCCTCTGCCCCTGGGGGGGGGGACGACACCACCAAGAGACCGGGGGGCTCCGGCTCACCCAGAGAAGGACCCCAACTCCTGTGGAAGGGCGCATTTGCGGGGACCCTCCTGGAAGGGGACAAGTGACAGTCCCAGCACGCGGCTGGGGGTCCCTCACCCACCCCGCTCCCCTCGGGGGGTCCATACGCTCCCCCTCCTCCCCGCCCCCTCACCCACGCCAGCACTCCCGGCCCCGCTGATGGATCCTCTGGCCCTGCACAGCTCGGCTCCGGCTCCACAGCCTTCCAGCCCTGACCCAGCCCCACGGTCGGTATTTTCCGCCCCAGCTTTCAGTTCAGCTCTAGCCCAAAACTATTTATTTCAGCTTTAGTCACACCCTCTTTGTTTCAGCCCCAGGCCCAGGGTCCGTATTCCAGCTCCAACACTACAGTCGTTATTTCAGCCCCAGCTCTGTGATGCTTTAGCCCCAGCCCTACATCCTTTATTTCATCTCCAGCGCCTCGGCTGGTGTTTCGGCTCCAGCTCTGCATCCTTTCAGCTCCATCCCCAGCCCTAGAGTTTTTATTTCAGATCTCAGCCTACAGCATTTACTCCAGCTCTGCCTCATGCCAGTTCCAGCCCCATGGCCGATATTTCAGCCCCAGCCCTAGGTTATTAACAAGTGTTAGGGCAAAAGGAAAAGGCCTCAGGTTGCGCCGGGGCAGGTTTACATGGGATATTGGGAAATGTTTCTTCACCCGAAGGCCTGCCAGACACTGCAGCAGGCTGCCCAGCGCTGTGGGGCAGCCCCCATCCCCGGGGGTATTTACAAGACCAGTAGACGCGGGGCTTAGGGCCATGGCCTAGTGGGGCTGGGCAGGGCTGGGGTAACGGCTGCGCTCCGTCACCTCAAAGATCCCAGAATCACAGAATGTTCGGGGTTGGAAGGGACCTCTGTGGGTCACCCAGTCCAACCCGCTCGC